CCATCCCCGCCTCTTCGACCTGTTTGTTTCCTCTCCACCTATCCTCTCCTCTATCCCTCTTCTATCCGCCTCCCACTCTCTCCCTATTTATTTCAAAACCCCCTTCCCCTCCCCCTTTTCTGATGAAGGGTCTCGGCCCAAAACGTCAGCCTCTCTGCTCCTATGATGCTGCTTGGCCTGCTGTGTTCATCCAGCCCTGCACCTTGTTGTCTCAGACTCTGATAAATAACTGCTAATTTAATAAATTGAGTGGCTATCTGAACTGAAGATCTGCCAACAGCAGCACAATCTTGTTGACATAAATCAAAAAAACTGAGAAAGTCACCTCATCACCCCCACTCCTATCTCCTTGTGGGGATTCTTGTTACTCAGGATTTTGTTTTTATCTTTTTATTCCTACAGGTAATAACTCTGCAGAGCTTTATGTTCTATCTCGTCCTTTCTGTATATGAATGCGTGTGCAATTTAAGTTAGCCTAGTTGTAGCTAGTAACTCATTTTGCCATGTTTTAAAGCTTGCAATTAGTAGTGTTTTGTGTTTATTCATGAAAGCTGAAAAAAGGGACAGAGATAGCAGGAACTACAGATGCTGGAGAATCCAAGACAACAAGGTGCAGAGCTGGATGAACACAGCAGGCCAAGTAGCATCATAGGAGGGTCTAGGCCCGAAACGTCAGCCTTCCTGCTCCTATGATGCTGCTTCGCCTGCTGTATTCATCCAGCTCTGCACCTTGATAAAAGGGACAGATGCCACGTTTCACATATTATTAAAATATGATGACATTGGAAGCAGCTAAAACCATTCTGCAAATGGAGCAGGTATCCTTGACTGGCTGACTAGCTTTAGCTAAGGCTAAGGTAATAGAACTGTCAAATTACTTAAATCAGAAATTTCCTGCAAAAACTACGAAAGCAAAGATAATCTAACATATTGGCACAGCATTTAGGATTGGCAGAAATATATGAGAGACCAGGTACCCCAGTCAGTGAGACATCAATGGTAGTTATTATTATACAGTCAAAGCGCCTTGAACATGAAAGAGGAATAAGGCAGTTTGAGATTAGGAAGGAAAGGATATTGTCATTGAAATGGATTTAAATGGAAATAAGAAGGCTTGAACTTGAGGGAAAAGGGATAGATAGAGCATTTAGAGGCTTGAACTAGATTCAGAAGAGAGAAAATGATAAAGAGAGTGAATTTCAAAAAGGAAAACCTGAGTCATAATCTAAATGTTTAAATTTGCATAAATTCTACAAACATTTGAGAAGAATGATGTTGAGGCTCCTTTGTCACTTGAAAAGGTAGTGAACAAATTAAATTGCTGAAAGAAAACTGCCCATTGCCCATGCAAACAGGTTGATAGGTAGAGCTCATGAGAATAATGTATCACTGTCAGAGGTTTATAAAGTTTATGACTTGTAAAATGGCATCTTTGAACCAAGCCAAGGCAACTGGAATTCACCTATTGCAATGGTGCCAAAACCAGACAGATCACGTCAACTTGGTATCAATGGAGGATTCAGATCCAATTGGAAGACTATATCGACAGTATTGATTTGTCACGACAATTGATTTGTTAGACGATCATTGGCAAGTTCTATTGACTGTTGGAGCTGGATTACTACCAGCTATTGTAACACCAAATGGACTTCAGCAATGTAATATTGTGCCACTTGGAGGAAAAATAACCCAGCAACATTTCAGCAATTAATCACATCATCACTGACCGTAAGATATAAGAATTGGATTAGGTCATTCAGTCCAGGGAGTCTACACCACCATTCGATCATGGCTGATATGTTTTTCAAACGCACTCTTTTGCCTTCTCTCCCAGCCCTCAATCCCTTTACTAATCAAGAACCTATCAATCCTTTTCTTAAATAGACTCAATGACTTGGCCTCCACAGCTTTCTGTGGCAATGC